GGTTTCTGAAAAGGTTCTCGAATGTGGCATTAAAAAGGTGTAGAGAGCTTAAGAAGGATGTTCATATTTGTTATCATCAAAGCAAATGACCTGTTCCCCAATGAAGTGGGCCAAAATGAGGAGAACTGGGCATAATCTGAGTGGAGAAACTATTGAAGATACAGAATACTGAGAAGAATATGAGGCAGAAGGAGAGACACAGCCAGTTAAAGCCACGCAGTGAGTTGCCTACAGATAATTTTAAACTTGTGATCATGGAGAATGGGGAACCATTGTAGATCAGTAGGATGAGTGTGATGGTGACATACAAAATTCATACCGCGGAACTGCCTCGCTGAACCTGAAAAATTAATTTACTATTTCTGGAATTCAAATTCCTCCATTGTGATGAAATGATAGACTTCAATTTTTAAAATTCTTGATAATATTTAAGCTTCTATCTTTAGAACCTGTAAATGTCTCAATCATTTATTTTGTTCACTGTAAAATTGAATTAGAAGTGGAAAAGACAGTGATATTAATTTCATAGTTTGCTGTAAAAATGTCAGTGCAATTGACAGTTTATCCTACGTGACAAAGTTGTTTTGGTTGGACGCCTGATGATGCTCTTGATTCAAACGGACATCTGGAAATGGTGAATCCATACCATTTGAGATTGCTAGGTTTCTGTGGGCAGTTTTCTGTCAGATTAGCAGTAAATGCAGTCACTGCAATTTGACAGTAAAATAAAGAACAAAAAAACAGTACTGCACTGGAATAGGCCCTTCAGTCCACCAGCACTGTGCTGACACATGCTGTCTTTCTAAACTAAAAAGCTTTTGCCCCTAGAACATAGAACATTGAACGATACAGCACAATACAGGCCCTTCGGTCCACGATGTTTTGCTGGCCTATTATCCTACTAAGATCAATCTACCCTGCATACCCTACATTTTACTATCCTCCATGTGCCTATCCAAGAGTCGCTTAAAAGTCTCTATGTAGTCCTTATCCTTCTATTCCCTGCCTAGTCCTGTATCAGTCGAGATGCCTCTTAAATGTTGCTATTGTATCCACCAACACCTCTTGCAGCACATTTCAGGCATGTACCACCTTCTGTTGTTTTTAAAAAAAATACTGAAGGGTCTAGGCCTGAAACGTCAGCCTTCCTGCTCCTATAATGCTGCTTGGCCTGCTGTGTTCATCCAGCTCTACACCTTTTTATCTCAGATTCTCCAGTATCTGCAGTTCCTACTATCCCTTGCCTCTCACATCCTCTTTTCAACTCCCTTTTACCTTTAAACCTATGTCCCCTAGTAATTTTTTTTTTTTGTTTCTATTCATTTTGTGGAATGTGGGTGTTGCTGGCTGGCCAGCGTTTCTTGCCCATCCTTAGTTGCCCCTTGAGAAGGTGATGGTAAGCTGCCGCCTTAAAGTGCTGCAGTCCTCCTGCTGTGGGTTGACCCACAATGCTATTAGGGAGGGAATTCCAGGATTTTGACCCAACGACAGTGAAAGAACGGCGATATATTTCCAAGTCAGGATGGTGAGTGACTTGGAAAGGAACTTGGAGGTGGTGGTGTTCCCATATATCTGCTGCCCTTGTCCTTCTAGATGGAAGTGGTCGTGGGTTTGGAAGGTGCTGTCTGAGGATCTTTGGTGAATTTCTGCAGTGCATCTTGTAGATAGTACACACTGCTGCTACTGAGCATCAGTGATGGAGGGAGTGGATGCTTGTGGGTGTAGTGTTAATCAAGCGGGCTGCTTTGTCCTGGATGATGTCAAGCTTCTTGAATGTTGTTGGGGCTGAACTCATCCAGGCAAGTGAGGAGTATTCCATCACACTCCTGACTTGTGCCTTATAGATGGCAGACAGGCTTTGAGGAGTCAGGAGATGAGTTACTTGCCGCAGTATTCCCAGCTTCTACTCCAAAAAAAAATCTCTAGTTATTCATGCCTCTCATAATTTCCATAGAATTTTAGAATCCCTACAGTGTGGAAGCAGGCCACATCGACGTTCCAAAGATTATCCCAACCGGACCCACCACACTACCTATCCCTGTAACCCTGTATTTATTGTGCCTAATCCACCTAGCCTGCACATCCCTGGACACTATGGGCAATTTAATATGGCCAATCTACCTAATCTGCATATCTTTGGACTGTGAGAGGAAATCAGGTCACCCGGAGACGGGGATGGTGTGAACCACTGAGTCACTGTGCTGCCCAAAATTTTTATAAACTTCAATCAGGTCACCCCTCATCCTTCTTTTAAGTGAAAACAAACCAATTTTGTCCAATCTCTCTGCATAGATAATACACTCCAACTAGGCAACCTCTTGGTAAATTATTTCTGTACTCATTCCAAAGCTTCCATAACCTCCTTGTGGTGTGGTGACCAGAACTGTATACAATATTCCAAATGTGGCCGAACTAAATTTCTAATCAGCTGCAATATGACTTCGCGATTTTTATCCTCTGTATCCTGAACCAATTTAAGGTAAGCATTCTGTATGCCTTCCTGATCACCTCATCCATTTGTGTTGCCACTCTCCGGGAACTGTGGACCTATGTGCCTAGATCTGAGATCAGCACGGTGGCTCAGTGATTAGCACTGCTGCCTCAGAGTGCCAGGGACCCAGGTTCAATTCCAACCTTGGGTGACTGCCTGTGTGGAGTTTGCACATTCTCCCTGTGTTTGAGTGGGTTTCTGCTTGGTGTTCCAGTTTCCTCCCACAGTCCAAAGATGTGCAGGCTAGGTGTATTGGCCATGCTAAATTGCCCATAGTGTCCAGGGATGTGGAAGCTAGGTGGATTAGCTGTGAGAAATGCAGTGTTACAGGGATGGAGTGAGTCTGGGTGTGATGCTCTTTGCAGAGCTGGTGTAGACTTTTTGGGCCGAATGGCCTGTTTCCACACTGTAGAGATTCTGTGATAGATCCCTCTGTATATTGATGTTACTAAGGGTTCTGCTGGTTACTGTATACTTCCCTCCTGCGTTAGAAATGCATCACCTCACATTTGTCCAGATTAAACTCCATGTGCCATTTCTTCACCCAAGTCTCCACCCTATCTGCATCCTGCTGTATGGCCTGGCAATCCTCCTCACAGCCTATAGCTCCCCCAGTCTTTGTGTCCTCTGCAAACTTACTTATCATGCTACCTACTTTCTGCTGCAAATCATAAACTACAAATAACCGGGATCCCAGCAATGATCCCTGCAGAACACTACTGGTCATAGCTCTCCAGTCAAAAGAAAACACCCTTCTACTGCTACTCTCTGTCTTCTACAACTAAGCCAGATCTGAGACAACAAGGTGTAGAGCTGGATGAATACAGCAGGCCAAGCAGCATCAGAGGAGCAGGAAAGCTGACATTTTGGGCCTAGACCCTTCTTCAGAAATGGGGGAGGGGAAGGGTGTTCTGAAATAAATAGGGAGAGACGGGGAGGCGAATAGAAGATGGATAGAGGAGAAGATAGGTGGAGAGGAGACAGACAGGTACGAGAGAGTTGCAGTGGGAGAGAGATCCACTGAGGTTTTTCCGGAGGGAGGAGGGTAACTTCTTCAAGGTAGGCATCCTTAGAGGCTTCGCAGTGGGGTTAAAATTCGAAATTCGAAAGAATGACCCTTCTTCTGAAATGTGGGAGGGGAAGGTGCTCTGAAATAAATAGAGAGAGGGGGAGGCGGTGATAGAAGGTGGAAAGAAGACGGACAGGTCAAGGAGACGGGGATGAGAGGGGGGTGCTGGTCTTGGGATGAGGTTGGGAGTGGGGAGATTTTGAAGCTCATAAAGCCTACATTGAGACCATTGGGTTGTAGAGTTCCGAGGCGGAATATGAGGTGCTGTTCTTCCAATTTTCATAAACATATATGTGCTGCATCACATGATGCATACACATGATGGTGACAGTAGCGGTAACTTAATGTTTTGAAGATAACGAGGGATTCACTGAACGGGTAGCATAAGGTGACCAGCCTTCAAATGGAATTGGAGCATCAGTGATATTTGTGTAGAACTGGGGCAAATTCTTACATTACAGATTACAACAAATGACAACCAAACAGCACAAATAACAAGACTACTGCAATCACAAAATGCTCCAGGAATGCTAACCAGGGAGAAGAGCTGTCTACAGAATACAGACAAGCCATGTTGTCAGGATCATTCTTGTAAACCGATTTTAAAATGAACAACAATTCAGAAAAACACACGGGGATATTATTTATGAGATAATAGCCACTGGTGGCTAGAAAACATTTTGCCAAATATGCACCTGTAATGATCCTGCCTGTATCAGTGCTATGTTTAGGTATGCCATTTAAAAAACTAATTCTGTTCTTTGATCTCCTTAAACCTTCCTTCCTTATACAAATCACTAGCATTTTTGAAATCACTTCCAGTCCTGAATTCAAGTGCATACCCTCTAATTATTTGACTGCGGTCACTATGCATTGTCCTTCCTCAAGTCTTACTTCAGTAATACAGCTATCTTTAATCTGCATTTTTTGACAGTCTGCTGAAGCTACTTTTAATTTGTCCCTTTGATTTCAGCTAGTTGTTGTTTTTAAATTCTGGCAGAAATTCCTTGGGATATTTACGGGTGGGGGGCAGTCCTTAACCATTGGTTATTTATATCGTTCTCCTACTCTTTGTGCTTATACCAAAAGTCTTTTTCCTCTTGGTTACTGAGGGTAGTAACAGGAGGTGGAAGAGGTTTCTTGCACCGTTAAATCTTCCAAGCCAGATAGGACTCCACCTTTAATATTTCTTCCAGATCAAAATGTCTCCAGAGTGTAGTTCCTTCCATTTTCTAATTTTTCTCTTTCCCACTGCAACCCTGTCTGGCACCTCTACATCCCCTTGCCTTGCCACCCACAAAATCCTATTAATTACTAACCTTTTAACAGACTGGGAAGCCAAGTGTCTCCAACAATGTTATGAATGTGGGGGAGTGTACAAATTACAATAGTTGTAAATGTGTTACTATTATTTACAATTTATCCATCTGTCCTCTTTAGCTATGCCAACATTTACCGAGAGCTGGAGCAGATAATCCGGATTGCAGATACACAAGAGGATCTCAAATGGTTCAGTAGTACACATGGACCTGGAATGCCAATGAACTGGCCTCAGTTTGAGGTAATGTTTCTTTTGTTCTCACAATAACACATTTATAACTAAACATGAGTTTGTTTTTCTCAATATTGTAGTGATCTTGGAGAGCTATTTTGTATGTAGCTGTGACTCATTCTTGAACCCTGGTAGGGGTACGTAAACCACTAAGTAACCCAATAACATGTCACTGTAGAATTTAAACAAGAAAAAGATTTTTGACAGAGTACAAATATTCAAAATTATATAAAACTGTGCCTTGAATTATGTTGATCAGTGACAGTTCTAACATGAAAATATTTGAGAACGTCAGCTTGGTTTAGTGGTAGCATTTATTTCCAATCAGAAAATTGCTCGGTCCATCTCCACCGTATTTCTTGGGTCAGCTTGATTATGGATTCTTCAGCCAGTACTGAAACAAAACTGCATTGTTGGAAGTTTTATTTTTAGAATGAAATATTAAGCTTGCCTGTTCAGGTGGATAAAATTTCGAAGGTGGTACTCAAAAAAGGCAAGGAACTTCTTGTTGCCAAGCATTCCTCAACAACTGCCAGCAAAACAGATAGACATGTTCACCTCATTGCTTTATGTGAGAAATTATTATATGTACAGAATGACAATGCCTATCTTCAGTAATAATTGTTTGGCTGTGAACTACATGGAAATATAGTAGATGAAAAATGTTACAAAAATGAGTCCTTTTTGATTTCAAAAGATTAACATTCAGAGGCAATTTGGCATCCAAAAGGAATCTACAGCAATTCGCAATCCAGTACCAACAGTTTCATTAAATAATTCCATGGTTTTTGCCTTCATTATATTACCATTCCACATGATGTTCTTCACACAAAATATAAATCTGCATGACTCAAATATTAGAAGAAGTATGTCTTTATCTCCTACTCGGTTCCCCTAATTTCACATTTTAGTTTAGGGTAGTATTCTGGATCTTGCCTTTCTCGTAACACTACTAGAGACTGGACAAAGTACTCTATACATAGCATCCTAGCTTTCAGTATTGGAAGGCTGCAATTTCATCATTAATCCAGTATTCATGAACAATCTCTCCAACTGTTCCCATGAATGAAATGTTTTCCTTGTCTTGGTGGCCAGAACTAATGTATTCCGGTTGATGATCTGAGTATGCATGGAAACCTAAATACAACTTTCTGGACTCTAGGTTCCTCACTTCATTTGTAGAGATTAGATATTCACTGCATTAGTTTCAATACAATCTATGGATTTCTTTGAATACAATTTAGAGTGCACTTACCTGTTTTTCCTCCATAGTATTACTTTGGATGTACCCAATCTAAATTTCACAAATAGATTTTGTTTTTATTCTGGTACATTTATAACTCTCAAATAAATGTTACATTTCTTATATATTATCCAGAGCAGGTAAAATTAGTAAATATGCAAATACCTAGCCAGAACCACTCTAGCAGCTCTGTCCTTTTGGATTTAGGCAGCTCAGTCATTAGTGATGGTACTGACTCACTCCTGTTAATGGAAACTGAAGTCTCCCACCTCACATACATTCTGCACTCTTGCCACCCTCAGTGCTTGCTCCAAGTACTGTTCACCAATGGTGTAGTACTGATTCATCAGCCAAAGGTCAGGGAGCCGGAAGGTGGGATTCAACAGGTTTCTTTACTCATGTTTAACTGATAGCATGAGATTTTGTGGTGTCCAGCGTCAATGCTCAGTGAATGAGATGGAGTTTTAACAGCAATAATAGTTATACTGTAGCCATTGGTGTTTAAATTCATATTTTTAGTGAACTCTTGTTTCACCATCTGCCATAGAAGCATTCAAACCCATGTTCCCATAACATTTTACTCTCTATTACTAGATCAGTGACATTATCATTCCATCACTATCTCCCCTCACCTTCTCTTAGAATCACGGTTTGTCTCCTGGCTTGGTGGTAATGGTAGAATGAGCAGGCTGCTGCAGTTGAGGTTACAGATTGTGGTGGATTAAAGTTCTGCTCTCAATAATGGCCCACAATGCCAAATTGGCTGGACATTCACCTCTGAACCCAGAGCTTCAGTATTGAAGCATCATACTACTGTCTGTGGATGAGACATTAAACAGAGTCCTCATCTGCCTTCCAGGGTGGATGTAAAAGGTCCTGTGATGTTGTTAATGAGAGGATAAGCAGAGGCATCCTGGATGTCCTGACCAATATTTATCATTCTGTCAACCTCATGAAAAACAATTTTTGTCCCATTGCTGTTTGTGGAAGGTTGATAACACAAAGTGGTTGCTATGTTTCTGATATCACAATAGTGACCATATTTCAGAAAGTAATTCACTGGTTGTAAAACATTTTGAGATGGTCTGGTTGTTTAAAAAAAAAACCCAATATAAATGTAAGATTTTAAAAATATGTTTATATATGTGCATGTCATTGCATTGCATTGCTGCAGATACATGGTTTTAATTTACTGTGTCTAAAAGGACAAAACTTAACTTATCTTTTACAGGAATATTCTCAAGACATGACTCATACAGTTGCTAAAAGAGAGAAAGTAAAAAAGGTTAATGAAGGTATAACAAATGTCTCACCAGGAGGAGAGCAGGGGACACAAGCTGTGGACCGGGGCAGGTAGGTGTACTTTAAATTAGTAATTGTGGTAGAATACTAAGGATCTGATCTTGTTTTTGTGTGTGTTGTTTAATTCTTCTATCGTGTGTTTGGCACACTCATTAGGTATGGCCTGTCCAGGATCCTTGCTTAGTTTCTAGACTGTATTACCACATAGTAATAAATGTTACAAAAGGAATTGTTTACATATTTACTGGAATTTTATTCTCGTATCTGCTCAGAGCTGGGCTGCATGACTTGTGCGAGAGCATCAATATTGTGAAATAAGTTTTTTTTTTTTTTTTTAAGAAAATATATATGAATAGCAACAGCAAGGGCACTTTACCTGAAGTGTCAGCTCCTATTAGCTCAGATCAGTAATTTGGAAACACAAAATAAACAATTTACATGACAAATCCATAAAATAATGACAGCAAACTTTCAAGGGTCAGTGTTCTCACAATTTTGCTGTTCTTGTTCTGCTTAATGTTAGGGTTGGTCGGAGTAGATGACAGTGATTAAATAACTTTGGTGATTTGGCTATAATTTAACTAATATGACAGGCCCCTTCTTGTGGAGAGTTTGTTATTTAAGCCAAGGACATACCCCCAAGAGGAACTCCTGCTACTGTGAACTGAGCTTGTTGTTATATTAACGGACTACCACTTTTTGACTTGCAACATCTACTTTCAATATCTGAGGCCCTTTATGCACTAAATGTTTTTAAAATGGGAAAAACACTGAAATAAGATGGCCACCATGATTATCTGACCAGGTTGAGTCAAGCTTCATGAAGCCATCAATAAAAAAGACTTCTGAAGTGAACACATCATCAAAATGACTGAAATCAGTCATTCGGACCTGTATCTTCTGTTTGATTTACACCTTTCTAGAAGTTCCGTTATATTGGAATGAAAGTGCCTGCAGATTATCCAGCATGGACAAAGAAAACAATGAAACTAGATGTGGGAATGTACAAAAGAACTATATTCCAGGCAATTTTCTTTTTGGCAGAGGAGAGAACAGAATGATGGCGTCACAACAACAGTATTGGGAGGCCTGCTGTCTTTCTCACCCTGTTTTTTTTTCTTATTCTCAGCATCTCAGAAAGCAATACCTAATGAAAAACAAACTGAAGAAACATCAATTTTGTTAGAACTCAAAGATATCTACAAATTTTGCTATTGCTGAGGATACAAGTCATCAATTTAACTGTAGTCTCAGGTTCAAACCTAAGACCTCAAAAATTCCAACTTTTAAACTGCATTTTTAAAATCTTCCTGGTTGCACTAGTATTCTCCCTCTCTTTAAAAGTTGTACCTGTGTTTATGTGTGTGCCTATCTGATATCACATGTTGAGACAGAGACCAGAGTGGTGCACTGTTTCTGTTTCTAGGTCCAGTCTCTCTGCTGGTCACAACCAATATGAAATTTAACTAAATAGTTTATATGGCCAACTAGATAGGTCTCGGGTCTCAAATTGTGTCAGAATCATTATGGAAAAACAAATTGGCCATATTTCTTTTATCAATAACGCATGATTGATTTAGTACCAAAACAAACTTACTCAAACCAAGATGCAAAGTTTATTGACAACTGATTTGAATTGTGCAAATGTATATCCATGCTCCAAAGCTGACACACTCACACTCAGTCTTTCACTACCACATGCACACAAATCTGAAGAGAAGCAAAAAAATGAAAACTCAGCAGAATGTTCACTCTAAAGTACTTTGGCCAGATAGTAGTTAAACTCCTGATGAAAGGCTAATAGGAACCTAGGAGCGAGAATTGACCATTACACTGGCCTGCTCTGCCATTCTAAATCATGTCGGATGCTACGTACAAAATTCTAGACTATGCAAAGACCGTACAGAAATGCTTTAGTATCTGTAAATGGAGATAAAGGTTTTTTTAAATGAATGAAGTATATTTTTGCAATTGGAAAAATGTACAAAGCTCTAGAAAAGTACGGGAAGGATGTACCCAAAGCCACCCTCACTGTGATGGCCACCTTTTGTGTGTGGCTGCATCAAGCTGAGTGTTAGACCCTTGGTAAGCAAACACCAAGTGTCACTATGCACTGAGGTTCTACCTGTCCCAGAGTTATGAAGGATAGGCCTGACCTCGTTGCTCCAAATAGTTGGGTTATTCTGTATCGCCTGAAGAATTTGTGAAGGAAAACACCTTTGACCACAAGTCCATCATAGAACATAGAACATAGAACATTACAGCGCAGTACAGGCCCTTCGGCCCTCAATGTTGCGCCGACCTGTGAAACCAATCTGAAGCGCATCTAACCTAAACTATTCCATTATCATCCATATGTTTATCCAATGACCATTTAAATGCCCTTAAAGTGGGCGAGTCTACTATTTTTGCAGGCAGGGCATTCCACACCCTTTACTACTCTCTGAGTAAAGAACTTACCTCTGCAGGCAGTGGTCAGCACATAACATCCTCAATACCCTGCGGGAAAAGGATCCTGTTGCTTAGTTCCCTAAGTAGACTGTCAAAATCATTCAACAGAATGCCTCCTCACCAGAAATTTCCAACAAGCACCAAGACGTAGCTTGGCTGGTGTTGAGAAAGGCACGACCCATCAGATCCTTGATGTTCTCCCAAGCTCTCTCCACCACCACATGCTTCCCTCAAAGCAGCTGAGGGGGTGAAGAGACTAACCCACATCTCCTCCTGGAATGTGCCTATGCAAAGAAGGTCTGGAGAGAGAAGCAGTGGTTTTTGCCGTGATTCATCTTGAACAGCTCCGTGACACACGGCTGTCTGCTCTACGGTCTGTTCCTCGGGATGCAAACTGAGACATCGACTGTGCCTGGAGGACCATCAACTTGGTGAAAGTCACTCTTTGGTCTGCCCAAACCTTTGTTGGTCTTCCAGTGTGAAGAGTTGACCTCAATCAAGCATTGCACACTGGCACGTTCAAAAGCCCAGCACTACGTGCTGAGGGGTGCACAAAAGCTTGGGGCAGCTGCCACCAAGGCGCAGTGAGGAAAGACCACTGTCTAAGGTCTTTCTGCCAAAGTGTAACAGGAGTCTGTTTAGTTATCAGACCCACCCTCTGCCATTGCCTCAAAATGTATGCACATATTTTTCTTGCATAAGTTAAAAATGCATTTGTTTTTGCACCTGCACGGTGGCTTTGTGCCATGTCAAATTCCAATATGTCATTTCAGTTTTCTTTCCTCATCACAGTCTGTACAGAACATAGTGAGAACCCTTTATATGTATTTATAGATAATTTCTTTATGAATAAAGTATATTTTGTAATAAAAAAAAACCTTAATGTCCTATTCCTCTGCTGTTCCCATTTCCTTTGACGTCACTAGTGTCTACAATGCTATCAGTCTTTGTCTTGAATTTATTGACTGAGCTTCTAATGGGGTAGAGAATTCCAAAGATTCTTCACCCTCTGGGTGAAGGAATTCCTCCTTATCTCAGCCATAATTGTCTTGTCTTTTTTTTCTGAGATTGCATCCCCTTGTTCAAGACCCCACAGTCAGGGGAAACATCCTTCGGCCTCTAGTCTGTGCCTTTTTAAGAATTTTACAAGTTTTTGTTGGAGATCACCTCTCCGTCTTCTAAACTTTAGAGAATACAGGCCCAGTTCCCTTAATCTCTCTTTGTAAGACAGTCCTTTCATCCCAGGAATCAGTCTGGTGATCCTACACTGCATTCTGTTTATGACAAATATATCCTTCCTAAGGCAAGGGGACCAGAACTGCGCACATTACTCTAGGTGTGGTCTTATCAGTATCCTATAAAATTGAAGCAAGACTCTCTTGTCCCTGTACTCAAATTCTCTTGCAATAAGTGCTGCAGTCATGGGTTTTTAACAATAATTCCCTCTTGAGAAGTGGGCATAGCCAGCTGAACCAGCATTTATTGTTTGTCCCATATAGCCCTTGAGAAGATGGTGGTGGTGAACTGCAGGTCATGTGCTGTAGGTAGACCTACAATGTCCTAAGCGAGGGTTTCATTCCTTTCTCATGGTTGATACAACTGATTTAATTGCCATCTGAAACAGCAAACCAGAGTAGGTTTGGAGTCACATTTAGGTAAAGACAGCACTTTCCTAAAGAGAAACTTCCAACAACTGGCAATGGTTCTATGCTCATCATTAGACTCTTAATTCCAGATATTCTTTTTTCCCTCTGTTGAATTTAAGTTCTATGATTGACCACGGTCGGATTTGAACCAGTTTCCCACAATATTGCCAGGGTCCCTGGATTAGTAGTCAAGTGGTAATACCACTAGGCCATCATCTCCCTCAGCCAACGGTGTTCTGAATTTGAAGTTATTTTGCACACTGATACTGGCACTGGCCAGTTTGTAATTTGCTGAATTCCCTTGGCTTCACGTAGTGGGGCAGAAAATCCTCTTCAGGATCTCTCCGAGTTATAAAGGTGACTTTTTGAGCAGAGTTGTAAGGAAAGGGAGAGCAATGGATTATTGCTTCTTAAGCAGGTCTCAAATTCTCTCCGACTCCATTCAAAAATGCTCCAGTCTTATCCCACACTCAAACTGAGCCATGTGACCTGTCCCTGAAAGTTCAACAGATCATGTGACTCTGTCCAAACCACAGATGCAACATTGTTGCTATTGAACTTTGCCTTTTTTTGAGCAACGTCTCCTTTACCTTTGCATCATTTTTGAAGCCATCTTATTCTATCTCTGTGACATTGCCAATTCCATTTCTCTTTCAGCTTGTTTGCTGCTGAAATCCTCATTCATTCCTTTTTTTTAATGATACCGGCTGATTGTAATACTGGACAAGTCAGATTCCTCAGTAAAATCTGGCTGTAGACAAGGGGTCTTGCTTCATTGCCTTGTATCTGCCCACCCTTGGCTCTCTCTCTCTTCCCACAGCCTCATTCTGCTATTCATTTTTCCTAGTCCCACTCCCAACCCCTGCTCTTACCGTGAGTCTTCAGGTATGATCTTTCCTTCTCTGTTGTCTTCTTGCTTCCCTTCTGAATTTGAACTGAGGTCCTGGGCTCCAT